TCCCATAACTGGCCAAATTTCATGAACACAACGTTTTAATTAATATTCTTTCCTAAATGCAAATAATTTTGTAAAATATACAAGATTTAATAAATTACAACTTCTGTTTGTTTTTTTTTTTTGTGACCGTAAGAATACATTTCTAATATAAGTTTTTGGCGCGACAGGACAACACTGCGACGGTGGGTGTCCGGTTATGAGAAACTTGAGGTAATTTCTTCTTTATGAATAATATATAATTATTAACATGTGATAACGTAGATATTTTAATTTTCCTTAAGACTTCGAGTAATGGAAGGAAGTTTGTATGAAATTTGACTTCTATTGCCAATTCCAGAGTTCGAGTTATGAAAGTTCAACTGCATTTTACTAACTATTTTACTTTTATTCTAAAGTTCACAAGGCAGTTGGCTCGGCAAATACCGTTTTGGACACATATTTACAATAGTTCCCGCCAAGGGTTGCCAACTCGGCATTATTCCTTAAAATCATAATTTTTATATTCTTTGTCTCTTGATTATATCATCCGCTAAAAGTATTTTCAAATTACTACAAGTGTTGTGGTCTTACTTAGAATTTTGGCAAGCGTTATCAAATATGCAAACATTTATTTCCACACACACTGTGAAGAATACGCTTTTGATACCACTATCAAATGATTACTCATCTTAAAGTTTCTTCTTAACAGCCTATCACGTCAAAACTGCTCATTTGGACTACTAATTAGATGACGTCGATGTCCTAAGTTCTTAACAGCAACCAGCGTTGGCGTCGTCGCTACAAAAAAATTGGTTTGAGATTAGTGATTAAACCGTACAAAAATAAAAATTTTTTTATTGTTTGTATAGCAGTTAGAATAATGATTCACATACATACATATAATAATATTTCTTTTTGCTGTCTCAGCAATTGTTGACAACACAATTGCCATTTTTGGGTTAACCCTGAAATTGCAAAATATTGAGATAATGCATTTATTCATTCAATGTCATCATAAGGCGCCATGAACTCATTTCACTTTTCTTCTTCAATTGAGGATTTTTTGTCTATTTGCAACATTACGATTGCAGAGACGTTACCAATATACCTACATACGTACACTGTATCTGCAACCTTATCTACAATACAAATTTACTTAGCGCTAAGTTTGAGCAGCAGTGTAAACGCTCTTCAACAGGTTTTAGCCGGCGGCTAAAAGGCGGAAATAAAACGAAAAATGCAACGCATGCAGCGGTCTGCTCAAGTCACAGTTGACCTACCTGTTGGCTTAGAAAATTACCTTCACTTTTCCCCCAACCAAAATGCTTAAACGTCTGCTCGGATTGCGTTCATTTGAAACCACGGCTTTGTGTATGCTTGTATGCTTAGGGAGATCCTTATCGCTTCGAGCCCCTTACATACAGACACATACCTAAATGTAGTCGTTTAAGATTCGTGCAGCCTACAAAATTTCTTGGTTTCTCTATTTCACGCACACATACGCACTCATATTCATATATTCGTATATGTATATTTGTGTGTTTTTGTTTTGCTTGGCCGCTTCATTGGTTTTGCCGGTCAAATTGTATTTATTTGTCTGTTGTTGTTGAGAAGGTTATTTATATTTTTAGTCACGTCTTTTATTGTGTTTATTGTATTTGTTGCTTTGCCTGTTGTTTCCCTACGAATTTGCTTTACTTTCAAGGCTTACAACACGGTGCGTATGACTTTCCAGCTCAAACCGGCGTTTTCTCGAGAAATCGTATAAATTCTATTCCGTGTGGCTTTTCTTGATTTGCATTCATTATCGGTCGTTATGTTGCAGCGTAAAGTGTGTTTGCTTTCAACAATTTTCTACTCAATGCTTAACGCTTGGATCGCGTAAGTGTGCACAAGAAATGTTGAAATATAATTTTGAACGAATTAAAAATTAATGTGTTATAAATTAAAAATCGAAAATGCTTATATGTGTGCGTTGTGCATAATATATGTATGTTTGTATGTGTATACGCATAATAATTTGACAACAAAACAAACGCGAAACACAAAAAAGAACGCGAAATATTTTTAAGAGTTTTTCTTAATCTAAATCTTTATCAGAATACATACATATATCTTTCGTGGTGTTTGTGTGCATTTAATGCATATAATACATATAGTGACTACGAATGCGAACAAACAGCGCGCTGTAACGATAAGCGAGTGCAAATTTTAAATTACTCATATAATTGTGTTGTCATCTTTATAAATTTTCAAGCAACAAAAGTAAATGAAGCTTTTGTTTAATATCATCAAATTATAACATTATATTGTTGCTGTTCGTGATTTCGGTATAAATGCGGATGGTTAGTCATATTTTATTTAATATAATTAGAAAACAATATATAAATGTGTGTGCGCGAAAGATCCAATTAAAGTTCATAGTGAAGTAAACCAAGAAAAAAAAGTGTCCATACAATTACTTGATTTTGATCGTTCAATTTGCGTGCCATCTCTGTGCTGTAGTCAACCGAATTGAACAATTTCTTCGGAGATCGTTGCGATGCCTTGGATAATAATCTATGATGAACTTTGTGAAGATATCTTGTCAAATATAAAATGTTTCCGTACAAAGGCTTAATTTTAATTGATCTGTTTGTATAGCAGCCATATACAGGGTGGGCCATCTAACGTTTTAAATTTGAATTATCTATATTTCGACATTGGAAACGTCAAATATCATTCGGAAAGTGACAGATATTCAGTAAAAAGTCTAAAATTTACTTTTAAAATTTAGCCACTTGACCATCCGAGCCGTCTACAGTTCGCAGATTGGGCAGAAGATCGTTTGACCGAGGATGGTCAATTTTACTGAAAAATAATCTTTTCGGACGAGGCTCATTTCCACCTCGATGGTTACGTTAACAAGCAGAATTGTCGCATTTGGGGCATAGAAAACCCGCACGTAATCGTCGAGAAGCCAATGCACCCAGCACGAATCATTGTATGGTGCGGATTTTGGTCTGGTGGAATCATTGGCCCATTTTTGTTCGAAAAGGAAGAAGGAAATTGAAGAGGAAGACTTGTACAACATTTGGTACCAGCAGGACGGCGCTACGTGCCATACAGCAAACGCTACACTCAATCTTTTACGCCCTATCTTCGAAAATCGCATAATCAGCAAAAGAGGTGATGTGAATTGGCCTCCCAGAAGCTGCTATTTAACTCCGTTGGACTATTTTCTGTGGTTAGCTGTTAAAGATAAATGAAACCGTCGAGAAAGTACTCCAAAATTGGGTGGATCGGATAAGCTACTGTAAACTCAGCCGTGGTGGTTATTTGTCCGAAATTGTTTTCCGCAAATAAATTTCATAAAACAACCTTTTAAATAAATGTTAGACCTTTGAAAAATATCAAGCCGTTTTTTATTGAATTTTTAAATTTAAAATTTTATATGGCCCACCCTGTACATGTTACAGTGGTGCTTTATCGACGGTATCCACAAATGAGCAGCTTCTTGAGGAGAACAGTTCATGTACAAATTTTCATTGATTGCTCAAAACCTGAGGGATTTCGCTTATTGACTCAGATTATCACGCTCATCATTTATATACCCGTATGTACAGGGTCTATCAAAAGGAATGATGTGATGTTAAAATTAAATAAAACACTAAAATTTGTTCTAAAATGGTTCTTTTTTTTTTTGCTATGCATATAATTTTTAAAGTCATTTATGATTTGAACAAAATGTCGGCCGAATAGTCACCACGGTTCCGTTTGCATATCTGGTTGTTGCTGATGTAGCGGCAGAATTATGCCGAGTTGACAGTCCTTGACCTGATAAAAATCCGGTTATAATCCTTGCTATAGACGGTAATAGCATTTTCTGTCTGATTTCGTAACGATTAAGGCTCGATGATGTCGTCATACCACAATCCGCAACAATCAGTAGATTTGAGGATGCAATTGTGTTTCTTGAACCAGTGGAGTATTTGACTCGATCACATTTCTTTTTATGACCTCAAACTGTGACTAAGGTTCCCCTCGGTTATCTGCTGGTTTGCAAGCCTGCTGGGGATACGATTTACATTTGTATTTTCAAAAGTTGTTAAACAAATATATATAAATGTAGATATAGTTGATTAAGCAAAAATAATGTTTAGAGACTCTTATTTTTTGATCTAATGGAATAATTTTGTAATGTGATCAATTTTGGTTTAATTTTTTAGGTTTCGTCATCATTGAGGAAGGAAAATTTTAACAAGTCAAGTTTTATAGGAAACTAAATTAATTTTTTAAGACAACTTACTTTCTCAAAAAAGTAGAATGGTTAAAAAAATATTTTTGCAATGCGGCATGATAAGCCGCTAACATTTTATAAATATTATGTATGCATGTATGTGCTTTAATCCATGTACATATATACAAAATTCAATAGAAAGCAAGTTCGAATATCAGCGTTACTAAAAAATTAGACCACTCACCCACCGGCCATTTTAACATTCAATTAATCTTTTTTCATAATGTGAGTGTACGATTTTATACAACCGTTTCTAAGCGACAAAAACCGAGTGTCATTTCTTATAAAAAATTTGCATTTATAAATATATAATGTATTTCACAGAATTCAAAACCACAACAATGATTTCAAGTGAATTTGTTATATATACAACATTTTTTAGGTTATAATGAGTTTTGAACAACCAGTAACAACCTACCTTCTTTCTCGGCATTGTACTGTATTTCTAATGGAAGAGAAATTAAACATTTAGCACCAAATAATATTTATTTAAAAAATCAAAATTTTGCACTTAAAATAAACATACAAGATCAAACTAATTAAACTTATTTTAATAAGAGTATCTCCATTTCTGTTCATCAAATAACAAGTTTGAACATACATATGTACATATGTGCATGCATATACATACATAAATTGCATTTGTTTAATATCGTCCAATTCACTAAATTCTAATTGAAAATATTTTGTATACGCTTTGCTAATTTGCCACATTTCGCTTCTTTCCTCATTCATTTTTTAGTTTTTCATTCTAAAAAACAAAACGCAAGCACTAAAATTGGACTACAAAAAAAAAAGAAACAAATAAACCAAATTATTAATTCCAAACGAATCGTTTCATCCACTCATCAACACTTTGGGGCACGTCAAATTCAATTTTCTAACATTTTCGGATTCTGAAGTGCGTCCATTGGATTGGGTTTGGTTAATCATACATTGCCGTGCAGGGACATCGCACATCACTCCCACTACAATCACCACTACCATCACCACCACAACCACTACTATTACTACCATCTCCAACCACAGCCAATAGTGCCCATACAGGTGATTTAATCACCACACAAACAAACGTAATTAGGTTGCAGGACATCATCGTCATCTCAGTGCTTTGTTTTGCATATTTGTGGTAGCGCATGTTGGCCGAAACAAATAAGCAGCTAAAAATTGCTTACACAAACCTAACCTGCAAAGAAAAAAAAAATTAACAATTAATTTGCAAACCGAGCGTCGCTCATATATCAATCATAAATAAGCAAATTGCTAATTACACACGCACGCACACACAGTGCTGCTCACCACAATGAGTTTGTGGAAGAGTATCGTACGCTCTCCGGAGCTTGAAAAGCGCATGACTCAGTACTACGATGTCAAGGGCCTCGCCGAGATACGCGTGCAATTTGCATCGTGGATTGAAGAGTTCATAATGTAAGTAAAAAAAAACTACAAAAACGAAAAGCACCATAGACAAATAGGCTGCAGTGGCAGGAGAAATGTGTGTGCTGGGCGCTTAAATCAGCTGCCTTGCAAAATCTAGCAGAACTTAGCATTTATTTAAACCTATTTGTCGCAACAATTGCATTAGCATAATTAAAATTAATGCTGACCCACAACGGCTGCATAAATAAATAAATATATCTGTTTCTGTGTGTATGTATGTGCGTATGTCGGTGTGTTTAATATGTCTACAATTTGCGTAATAATAACTTCTTTGTTTGAGTCCTCCGTACACGTACTCGTCCTACTATAAACATGTTCAATAGTTTCTATGCATTTAGAGCCTTCCAGAAAAGGTTCACTCGAACCGAGTTAGCTGTCTTTAGATTTAATGTACCTACAGATATTTGGCTAAAATTATACTTGTATATATCTTTATAAAGTTGAGTTTTAAAGTATATTTATTATATATACCTTTGTAGTATGCGTTTCAATAATACATACATATACATACTTATATAGAACATTGGTGAACTAAACTATGCTTATGTCTTACAGGTCTCATCACCAATTGCCAACTAACCAGAAAATCTTCGAACAATTAGTCAACGCATTCTACGACGGACTGAAACAGAAGCTCATTACATTGGATGGTGATAATTTGTTAAAATTTAAAATTCGTGAAATTTGCGCGCATCTCGCACGAACAACACCCCTTGAACTATACACGTACATTCGTAACGGTTTACTTCGTGAAATTCAGGCGTTAAAGGAAGGAATGCCACAAAATCCCTACATGTATAATACAGCACTTGTTGGTGGCCATGTGAATGGGATCGGCGGCATGAATGCAGGTAATCCCTATATGAGCGCTGTCGGCGTTGGCGTAAGCCACATCGATGATGTGAATATGGCCGAAGATGCGTACGCATTGCCGGCACGCATACAGAAATTAGCCGTCGATGTTGAGAATATGCGTTTGGCCATACACAATTTCCAAGGTGAACAGGATTCGGTATACAATTATTTTAGTGATTTCAACCAAACACGTGCAATGATGTCGGCACAAGATATACAGGAACGTGAAAATCAATTTAAGGAACAGTATCTCATTTTGTCCGAACGCAAGAAGGTTGTTGTCACCGATTTGCGACGCGTTATCAACGAATACGATATGATACAAGAGCAAGTGATAATGGCATTGAAAATGTGGCAACGCAATCAGGCTTTGGCTGGCAATGGTGCGCCATTCCACGACAATTTAGATGAGATACAACGTTGTATAGAGATGTTGGTGGATATGATTACCAAAATTCAATTATACGTTACTAATCTGCACGCGATGGGCGATGATCCGATTCTAGCAGATTTACTAAATCATGTACGTTCTACACAGAAAATTCTGGTATTGTCAGCTTTTATAGTGGAACGCCAGCCGCCACAAGTTATGAAAACACATACGAGGTTAGTCGATATACAAGCGTATACCTACATATATAATATATTGTATAAAAATTTTCATTTCGTTTGTCTGATTTCAGATTTGCCGCCGCTGTACGATGGTTGATTGGCCCACAGCTTGAGATATACAGAACTAATCCAACCATAGAATGCGTGATACTCTCAGGTAAAAAGAAAACTCAAATGTTTAATGTATAGTCATCATATACACGTTTTGGACGATGAAGTACAGACATGATTCTAACATTATGACGTTAAAAGTCGGACAGTTAATAACCGTAAGTTTTTAAGAGTTACATTCGTCTGCCTGTGCTCTTTCACTCCTTATAAGACCGCGATAACAGCCATAATACAGAGCCGCAATAAAATCTTCAAGTTGCCAGTCGGCGATTCGTGAGGAAAAGATAAAGGAACATTGTTGGCAACATACAAGGCAATCGGCAGGCCGGTCATAAACTAGGCTGCGCCGATATGGCCGCCTGTGTATGTTTAAATAGAGACTAATCAGCGTAGATCGTGTCCGGTCTATGATAATGTGCCGTTTGATGTCTCCGGTTGAGAATTTGCATAGCGAGGCCCGCATGCTTCCTAAACTAAATGAGTTCCTCTTCTTGTAATATCCTAGAAACATTATGGCCGTTCCCTTGATGGTCGAACCCAGATTTTTATCCGGCCAAGGATTGTCAACTCGGGAGAAATCAATGGGTCGTTCCTTGAATTTGTTGACCACATACTCCGACCAGATGTCGGCCCGACTAACTGTAGACACGTATTCACAGGAGCCATTAACATCCTCTCCGACACCCTGTCAATGAATAGCGTACTTGGCTTACCACCCAATCGCTACACTAATAACAACATATGGTCGAAATCCGTTCCCGCGGCAGCTAGGTCTGCGTAACCCCTACGGACCCGTATTTTTATTATCATCAAGAATTGTCAACTTATCAGCATCCCTAACTAACTACTTCAAATACTGGTCGAAATCAGACCATAACTTTTAAAGCCTTCAGATACCGATTACAAGACCCTCACTGCTTAGGTCTAACTTTTGTTTACCGAAAATATGAGACCTCTTAACGGTATTCAGGATTTTTCAAATCGGATATGGTCAATACTTAGTCCCCATATTCTGATACGAATTTGAAAATATTCGGTTGGCTTTATACCGTATATATGGTCAATATAATCTTCGATATACTATAGTTGGGTGGTGGTGAAAATGTTGTAGCTTGGATACTAGCTACTGCACTGGGAATTATGTTGGTGAAATCGGTCCACGAATTATGTGCCTTAGCCCGCATTTACTACGTATACTTATTTAGTGTTATTCCAGTCGACTTTTTGTCGAATATATAGGTTAATATGTGAGTTATAATAAAAAATGGCGTCGAAAAATATTCTCAGGACACATCAGCACTTTGAGCTTTGCAAATTGCGAGAGGTCAAAATGTTCCGTTACATACGAATTCGGTATTTTCTTACTTGTTAAGAATTATTTTAAAATTTATATTCTATATTAACAAGATGATGTTTGACCCATTTTTCAGAGGCCCAAGCTCAACGGCACGCTGCTCATAACAGCACTACGGATATGCAAACCGCCGCTCCACCGCAGTCTTCTGGTGAAATTCTAAATAACGTCAGCTCTATGGAATTCCAACAGGCCACACGAGTATTCTCGGCTAGTTTTAGGTGATTTTAAATTTTTTATCCCAAATTATTTGCAATATATGTATGTTAACTGAAAAAATCGACTCTTTTCTTTTCAGAAATATGCAATTGAAAAAAATTAAGCGGGCCGAAAAGAAAGGCACCGAGAGTGTTATGGACGAGAAGTTCTCTTTACTCTTCTACACAACTGTCGTTTTCAACGAATTCAAGATAAGTGTAAGTGCTAACGAAATTTATTTAAATTTTTATTTAAATTATATTTATAATTTATTTATAATTGATATTCTTGTCACTTTTCGTTTTCAGTGCTGGACACTTTCTTTGCCAGTTGTTGTGATTGTGCACGGCAATCAGGAGCCACAATCCTGGGCCACTATCACTTGGGATAATGCATTTTCCGATATTACGCGTGAACCCTTCCAAGTGCCAGAGAAAGTACGCTGGCAGCAATTATCTGTGGCTTTAGATACGAAGTTTGGTTCGGCGACAGGAAGAAATTTAACCGAAGATAATTTGAACTTTCTATGTGAGTTATTTTACCCTCATTACGACTATTTAGCACGAGCACGATTAATGAATAATTTTTTCGTTTTTTTTTTTGAATCTTTAGATGAGAAACTTTTCCGCAACGAAGCTGGCGAGCATAATGAGTTCATCACGTGGGCACAGTTCTGCAAAGAACCTCTACCAGATCGAGCCTTTACCTTCTGGGATTGGTTCTTTGCAATAATGAAATTGACCAAGGATCATTTATTGAATCTGTGGAAAGAGGGTCTTATTGTTGGTTTCATAAACAAGCGCAAGACTTTGGAAGAAATTTTACCCGTGCAACAATATGGCACATTTTTACTTCGCTTCTCCGATAGTGAATTGGGTATGTGATGGGTTGTATTTATTAACACACTTAAGCTTATTACGTCGTCTCTAATTAGGTGGTATAACTGTGGCTTTTGTCGACGATCAGGGTAATAAACTTATGCTGGCACCTTGGACGTCACGTGATTTAAATATACGTTGTTTGGCGGATCGCATACACGATTTGAACGTTTTGCGTACTGTCTTTCCAAAGAATCAGGCACGTGATGAGGCGTTTGGAAACTTCTATTCACACCACGTCGGTAAGTGTTGACATTAACGCATTGATGAATATGGTAACCTCCGCTTATTTGCTCACGAAAATATGTTTTTTTTTTTTTTACATAAATCGGTGCATCGTATTAAGCGCCGAGTGTACCACTTTTTGTTCTGTACATTAATGTTCGCTTATTAAATAAATATTGCCTTTAGCAGAACAAACAACACGTGATGGCTATGTTCCGAATACAATAAGAGCACACGTACCGGCCATAGAAGGCGGTTCCGTGGTAGGCACTCCTCAGCATCAACCGCAAGATATATCAATACCGAAGTAAGTTTTTGTTGTTGGTTTGTTAGAAAAATTATTTTTGCTTTAATTAATTTTCGAAATTGAATTATTATCTAATACTTTTTTTAATTATTACTTACTAATTTTTTTGTAATTATAAGTTTAATGATGGGCTGCTTATACTATTCTTTTATCTGACTAAAGTATTATATTTTTGTTTAAAATTTTGGTTAACGATCCTTCAAAATTATTTGTTTTATTGTTTGTGCCAATATTGTTGTCAAGTCATATGTGTTGAGGTTTCCTCCCTTTAGTTTCCTGAAAGCGTTTCTGTTTGGACGGTTAGCACTGAATTTGGACCTGTTGAACATTGAAAAATTCTAGGGTAATGTATTTAGATGTACGCAATCATTGTTGAGCATAGAAATGACTCACGCCTTACATCTTCGTTTTGCTACCTTCAAAATGTTTCTCTTTAAATCAATTTTGAGCTCGGCTTTTGTTCGAAAATTTTGTGATCTCCTTCCGTTGGACAGATAAAATCTAAATAATAACAACAACAATAAATGCCATAACATACCGAATTATCTAACACTTTGTATTTTCTGCTATTTTTAAGCCTTCAAAAGGGAAAATCTAGTTAGCCATGATGTTGGTAACTCCTAGAAGGAAAGGTCGGAGAACCTTCTAACTTTATATACGCGAACTAGTTACATAGTTATTGAGATATCGCTGTTACTTTTTGCACACGTCCTTTTCTTTCCAAGAAGTAGCACAGTTGTCGCAATCGCCGTTATCGGACCACTATAAGATATAGTGCCATACAAACTGAATGAGCAAAATTAAGTTGTTAAGAAAAGTTTGTTTATTTTACAAGTTTTCTTTCTTAAATTTGGCACTGATTATTGTCTAAAGTAACGGTATAATATACAAAGAAATTGTTCAGATCGGACCACTACATATAGCTGCCATACAAATTGCGCGGTTGAAATCAATTTCTTTTATGGAAACATATTTATTTGTGTATGTTATTATAGTTTCGGTGCAATATAAGTAAAGGTTTTTCTTGCTTATCTTAAAATGCATTTAAAACGCTTAAAACATTGTTAAATGGCTTCAAGTGGCGCCCTCAGTCAGTATTTTTCTTAGAAAAGCGTTTGAAAAATATTTTATAGATAAACAAAAAAAAAAGTTATGGTTCAGTAATTATGAATATATGAAGAATATACACGTAAAATTTTAAGTAACTTCCCCTTGAACTGAATTTGAGAGATAATACTGTTACAGTAACGCAACGCCTAACCTCCAAATTTATTGACATCAAGATGTGAGGCACTACATTAACATTCCTCAGCTAATTGGAGTTAGTTCAGTTTTCAAGTAATAATATGAATACCATGGTACAAATAAGAGATTTAGCTCTCGGTGAAACATCTCCTCAAGCTGCTGACACACATTTTGAAACCATATATTTATTTATAAACAAATTGTAATATTCTATTTCTCCACATATGACTCTGACAACATTTTGACATATTTTTTGCAAAATTGAAGTTATTTTGTGTATTATGTTTCTTTTTCTCTATGATTTTAACTTGGCAAACAAACTTAATTTGTATATTTGTATTTTGCTTAAACCTTTGAACACTATCTCTATAAATGAACCTTGCTTTTAGCTCTATTTGAAAACTAGATCGCAATACTTTGAAAATTAACTCTCACCTGTTGAATTAATTAATGATTTTTTGTTTTTTAATGATGACCGGAAATCAAGCTTTTTTGCATAAATCACTAATGGTGCGCTGTTTGCATTGGGTTGCTTCATTTAATCAATGCTAAATGAGGTCAGTCAGCGCAGTTGACTTGCGACTGTGCCGATTTTGTTTGGAAAATGTTGATATGTTTAACAGAAATAACAAAAAACCTAGCCTATTTGTGTATAAAGTATATGATTTATTTCAATATAACTGAACACAATTTTGTCTTTTATTTTTCTCTCGATTCTTCTGGCTGTCCGACAACTATACTTTCGACAACAAAACAAATCAAAAAACAACTGCGCGCATCTTAAACCTTTTGCCACTCTACACACATGCTTAACCTCACGCGTCCTTCCCGTGTGTGTGATGAAATCAATGTTTTCTTAAACACATACACACATACAAACTCGATAGTTATATCGAAGATCTTGGCATCGATTGGAATTGCATCTGAAATGGGTGGGCTGTATATAATTGGTATAATGAATGGTCAAATATTTAGTGGAGTGTGTGCAACATGTCATGCAACAGTTGCTCAAGACTTTTAAGCAGGTATTTTTTCTTAACATTTCGTTTTCATTGATTTGGTTATAACTTGTTTTTTTTTTCTTAATTGAAAGTGTTGCACTACTTGTCTTGAAATGTGGTATAATGTGCTGTTATGTTTTTTTTTTCATTATTATTACTATTACTTTTTTTGTACGTTGATAAGCAAAGCAAATTGATGCGTGCGTTCTCACAGCCATTCAGCCATTTAGCCATATAGCCAATCAATGCAAGTCACCATTCAAAACTTCTCATTACCACATCTATTACCAACTAATAACTAATTTCTTACTTAAATTATACAATTTCCGCATTTATTTTGGGTAACTTATTGTAGTTCTAATTTAACGGCAATCATTGGATGCTTTTTAAGTCATAAAAAATATAAGTAAATAGTTTAACGAATCACGGTGAATGATGACCGGTGGAATGAACGCACATATGTACAGTGCTAATTCACCATGTTCGCCAACACATAAATACTATTTCCTTTTAATTGCAAATAATTTATATAATAATTGTAGCATAATGTTAAGCGCTTTTCTACTTCCGATTTCGAAACTAAGTTTTTTTGTTTTCAAATACCACAAGCTTAAGCCACTTAAGTACACTTTCTTCACTTCTTCTAGGTACTTTATGCAATTATGATGTCTAAGTTTTTAACAATTTCTTAAAAAAAAAATCACTAATTCATGGATATGTGACTTACGTACGTACATACTTACAGTCTGTGTTGTTGTGCATTCAAGTAGTAGCGAAAAAATTAAAATTATTCGATACTAAGCTCATGCTGTTGCTCATTCATCCACCACAAAGTGTTGCTACTGTCTATTTATTGTTTTTTTTGTAATTGACCAGCAAAAAACATATTAATTCTTGGCCAAGAAATAATATTGTCGCTATTGCGCCGGTTTTCACTCATGCTCATAAACATTTTGTTGTCATTTGTCTAATGTTGAACTGAATTTTCGCTGCTACCGTTGGTTTGAAAGTAAAAAAAAAGTAAAACTCAAAGAAAAAGTATTGCCATCTATATCAAACTAACCACCACACCCTGACTAATTATAAGCTGCCCTAGCTGTTTAGCTATGAAAGCTGCTACTTTAATGACTACTTATATAGTAAATACAATATATATAAAAAAAAAAAACAAAATTCTATAACTAATATATTGAAAGCTTATTACTAATTTTCATTTCATAAATAACTCAAACAATGAAGAATAACTTTTGCTTGCATTTATTTAGATCGCAGAGTAACACCCTAATGCATCTTTGAGTACGCACACACATTAATACTATCACCTACTTGTAAAAGAAATGAAAAAAGCATTGTAACGAACCGAAATGAAACGATTCGAAACATGTTTTGGCAAATACAATATAACTTACAAATACTTCACAACTCAAAATATGCGTAGGATTGGGAATTTATGCGCATGCCAAGTAATTACTGAGCTATGAAACAAAACAAAAAAAAAAAAAAGAAAAAATTCTAAGCTATGAAAAATATTACTAAGAAAAAAGCAAGGATACAAGAAATGATTGTGAAAAAGGCTTAACAAATTTATAAATGAAAGAAAAAGTTATATGTGCTTCATTTGCATTTTTCGCTGAAGCAGTAAAATAGATTAAAAAAATATATAACAAATTTTAAATCACATTTAAACTTGTTAAAAGTGTCCAAACGCGTTATTACAACCAAAGAAAAAACAAATTAGCAGAAATCACGCTTAAAGTCGATTGTCACAATTCTGAATTCTGCAGTGACTTTTTTTGCAGATAAAAAAAAAATTAAAAAATTAAAAAACAAATAAAATTCACTACAAATATCCGCAATTAATGTGTGTACTTGCATGCTCAATGTCTTTGCGTATATCCGCAGCCGAAACTATAGTGATAATATGTAGTTGTATTGGGTCACTTAAACGTACGTTTGTTGTAAGCCGTGTATTCAAAGGTGTCTATAATAGGTGCTTAAATAGATGTGCTTTGCATGTTCACAACATTGCGTCTGTTTGGATGTTGCATGTCAATGGTGTGTTATTGCTTGCCGTTTGCCTTAACTGTCCACATACCAGCAGCCTGAACATATAGGCGACTGTAGGCAGGATTTTGTAGACCACCAATGCTGTGCTTTACCAAAAAAAAAATAAAAATAATTATTATAATAGAATAATGTAGTTGTAAAAGCCATGCGAAATCATCTTATGGCACTTGGCTTTATTCTATCTCTCTCTCTCTCTATCAATTAATTGCTAAAATGCCGCCAAAAATTCATATTTTTCATTTAATTTCATTTCAACGCAATCGCTTTAAATCCTATTTTTGTGTGTGCGTTGCTATTAAACAGTAATCAATTTCTTTCGTACAGTACATACTATAATTAACGAGTATTTATTAATATTTATCTTGTATATTTTGTGTATTGTTCTATTTAATGTCTATAAATTTTGTTTTTGTGCATTTTTCTCTCTCAGTTTTAGTGATTTTGAATCAATAATTTATGATGGATGCGGATAGATACATACACACGCAGTGATATACATATATACACACGTTAACAAATTGATTGAAAGGAAAAGGAATAAAATTAATAACAATAAAAAACAACAACAACATAATTTATACTATAAAATACATTTTAACTATTTGCCATCATATAAAGCGTATACTTGCTTAGAAACTGCGGCTTTTCTAAGAACTTTATGACTTTTACAACAAAAACAACAACACCGATTTGCATATATTCACATATAACGCAAGCGAGAGTCGAAGAGTTCCTTAGCAAAGTAGGCCAGTGTATTAGTTATTAGCAATCATTAATAATACACACATTTGTCCACACAATTAACTACCGTTATTACATTGTCGAGCAATATTTTTAAAAACTACGTTGCTGTGCATATTTAAAAATTGCTGTCTCTGAGCGACTTGTGAGCCATCGTTAAACACACAAAAGCAGTGCAAGCAGAATGCCGCAATGGTTTGAAGGAGAAAGCATGTTCAAAACAAGAGTAAACAAAAACACAAAGCGAAAGGATACTTTGCTGTTTTATCATTTTGTAAGCGTATGGTATGTACATGTTTATTTTTAATTTACATTTTTATTGATTTTTTTTTTAAGTTATTGGTTTTTACAAACACGTTTTCTCATACAGCGTTCTAAGTTAATATGTAAAACGGTATTCTACAACAGATCCGCATCCAATTATCTTTATTTGTTAGAGGAAATATTTAAATGATATAAAATAGTAGTTTAAGATTAAAATTACAGTTTTTCAATTTCCGTTAGTCAATAAAATCAAGAGAAAAAAATATAAATAGCCTATTGTTTGAATAAGAAAGCGCAAAGGATAAAGTTCGGCATAACACTAGTAGTGCACACCTAAGGGTGACAGCCTGAAAAAGTTAAACAATAAGCTACGATCAAAAAAAAAGAAAAAAAAGTCACAAAATGGCGGCGTTAAAAAAAATTTACACCTAATTTTAGTCGTTACAAGCTTGCCATAATTCGATTTTTGATCAGATCAAAAAATCGAGTCGGACATTGTATGAAATTTCATGCTGATTGGACTTGTTATCACTGCATTAAAATCGAAAAATGTTGTTTGGTCAAAAACGCGTTTAAAACTAAACTAGTAGACGGGAATGAAGTGAGTGGCTACCCTTTAAATGGCTGTAATTCAAAAACTAGAATAATTGAGATATAATTTGAGATATCGATTTGGAATGTGACTACCGAAATATATATTTGACTATTGAAATATAAAAAAATTGAACTTTTCCGCTATTTGGGACTAGAAATTTTCGAATTACGTTCAATTTTTCCGAATAAAAAAAATAAATAAATAAATAAATTTCAATGTTAATTCGGTTATTTTTTTTAATGTATTTTTTGCAGTCTTGACCACTATTAAATTTAAATTTTATTATTTATTATAAAGCTATTGCAATATCGTTCCAAAAACACACGCAAAAAAGAAATTGAGTTTAGTTTCATTTGAATAAAAATTAAAAATAGAAAATGCTTGATGATAACTCAGCGCAGTTAGTGACCTTGATGTGGAAATTGGCGCTAACATGTACCCAGAGTGCTGTAACCTTGGCAGCAGTGGAAGACGTTTTTTAGGGCAAACTGAGTTCACGTGTAACTCGAAAATTTTCTTATTTTTATTTTTAGAATTTTTACTGTGTATTCTTAAAGTATGTATAAATGTAGCCTCAAAATTAAATTAATTTTGACAGTAATCTCTCATTAGAGCCATTCTTGCTGCTAAAACTGGTCAAAAAAGTGCGAAACAAGGCTGGATAGCGTCGAAGTTACTCCAATGATGCAATTTATCTTAGCCTTATTGAATTCAGTTGCAAAGATAGCGAGCTATATATGAAAAGAATACTAGTTTAGTAGAAGATCACTGGAAATATTTTAAATATTTTTTCTTCAAATCCGCGTCTAATCGTTTGCAAATAAAAATCTTGAAAAAAAAATAAATAACGGAAAATCATATTTTTTAAAGCAAATCAATTTTCCACAGATTTTGCACTTGAACTAATGTATAATGTAATTGACGTGCTACAAATGAAATATGTTGACCTGAAATACAATATTACGGTGGCTGTCTTAAATATATAAAATTAATTAAAATATAAAGTATATTAAATCTACAAGAAAAACTACGAATTTACACACACACATACGAATTTAGCGAAAATGCTGAGCCAATTTTAAATTGATGTTATACACGTACATTTTTATCTAGCAAAAATATAACTAGTTAATTATAAATGTTATTTAAATCAAATTTTACATGCTCATAAGAAAAAGCAAAGCACATAACTATTTATATTTACATATATAGTATTTAGGGTGTGTATATACAACATAAAGCAGATATGTACTATATGTAATTGTTAAATAGTACTTTTTTATTATCAAATATTACTAAATATATGTATGTATTGGATCTATGTACTAGTATAAATGTAATGAATTGTTTTTGTATGCAATTTTTTCATTTAAACTTTGTTTTATGAAATTTTTGACAATTTTTATTTAAACATTTTCATTTCTATTTGCAGTGCACACTTTCATGTCGCTAGTCGATGCTGAATATGATATGATATTTACATTTACCGTTATGCATGCTGTACCGCCTTGAAAATATATATTTAGTCCATATCTTCTCTCCAAAAACATACGGAAAAAAACATTTATATATATATATTTTTTTTTTTTAATT